CAAACTATGAATCTGTAATTTGAAGTGTGAACACAGTGGCGGGACGTTTTACAAGAGTCTACATGATTGGCAGACACAAAAACAAACAGAATAATAAAAGCAATAAAATCCCTCAATAAATTCTCTTCATCCATATGTCATGTCAGAGCTCATTAGAGCCGGTAAAAGAATTTATTCAGCTCATAAATCTTCTTCACTGGTCTGTTGTCCTGTTATGTGGCCTTGAAGCGCAGCGTGTCGTCTGTCAGTGTCGTCGCTGCTCTGTTTTTCTTTCTATCAGCAGCTGCTTCTTCCAGCGAAGCCCTCCGTCACTCCGCAGCTGTCGGCTAACAAGAGTTCAGATCTGCTTCCAGCTTTCAGTCACCCACTCAGCCAGCCAGACTCTCGTTTCTGGCTGCGTTTGTCCCATCTCTCTCCATCTATCTTTACGTCATCTTCTTCCACACTCTCCGTTTATCCCTCTTCCTCCCAGTCTCTCGTTCCAACTCTCTTCCTCTCTTTTTACAACATCACAAACACCCTTCGAACATCTCCTCTCTCTATCTCTCTCTCAGCATCTTTTTCTCTCTCACCCAGTCCCAGGAGTTAACCAGTGAGACCAACAGCACATGCTGCAACAGCCGCGCTCTTGACAAGACGAAGACGAAGACATTTTACCCACAAACCCGAAATAGTAGATAATCCACGGCTGCACTGCACTGGACGCCAATTCATCTTTCAAGGCCGCACATGTGTATGATGGTGTGTATGTCAACGTGTGTGTGCCTGTGTTTTCATATGAGGTCCACTCATCATATCAAAGTGAGTTTGTGCTGTTTTGGTTACAAAACTGTTTGCACCATGACAGCAATGCTTTTAAAACCCTGTGAGGGTCAACCAAGACATCTCAGCTTACAGCCCACTGACCTTAAATGTGTCTCAGTGTGTGTGTGACTGTGTGTGTAACTGTGTGTGCCGGGGTTACGTTGTTGTACTTTGTTAAATTACCCCTCCCTACATTACAATGCTCTGATTTTACTTAGTGGTCCTTTCATATTTTCCTGGTTGTATACTACTGATTTGCTTTAATTAGTAAAAACCTAAGAAGCCCTGATTTTAATTTTCAAAACATACACAGTGTATTTTTTCTGTTGAGTTTTTATTACATTTGAAACAATGGCAACACATTTGACAGCACAAGAAAAGTCTCTGTCCTGTAGCATATTACTGAAGCAGGAAAAACTTGAATAACATGACATAACTAAGGTAATATAATTAAATATGTTCATAATCAACCTTTTGTACCTAAAATTCTGCTCATATTTCATCATAAGTAAGAAAAAAAAAACACTTTCCACTGCATTAAAATGTCACTGTGATATAAAATACTTTTTTGCTATAATTAAAAACTTTTAAAAACTTTTTTGTGTTTGATAGATGCTCATCCACCTGAATTGTCCCTGAATGGTGGAGGACTCTGTGTGGCTGAGGTTATTTTGGTCGGGGGTTTCTTTCTCTGTGTGTATCTGATGTGTGTCGTCAAATCCATTTAGTCGCCTCTCCAACGGGGTATAAATAACCTAAAGAGCAACAGGGGGATTCGCTCTCTATTATAAGTGTCTGAATATCAGCAGCTATTAGCCTGCTTGTCTCCCCGCGGCTGCTAGCCTCGTCCAAAACAGCATTACTGAACTGTCAGTCAGCCTTAGACACTCATGCTGCAGAAGACACAAACTGAATAAAAACACAGCTCACATATTAACTTTGTGCAACAGGAAACATATTGAGGGAGTTTTATTAAAGGAATAGTTTTTGTAATTGCACATATTAACTTTTCTTGGCAGAGAGTTTGTTGAAAGGGGTGACATAACTCTAGTGTCTCTACTGTGAGCAGCTGGTTAGCTTTGCTTAGCCCTAAGACTGAAAACCGCTCCTGGTATGGTAACAAAATCCACAAACTGGCACCTCTAAAGCTCACTATATGACATGTTATATCTAATTACTTTAATCTGTACACAATCTGAAGGGTTCAACTTCAGAGCCAGTCGTCCACTAATCTGAAGGTTGATGATTCGATCCCTAGTTCCTCCCTCTGCACGTCGGTGGGCAAGATACTGAACCCCAAATCGTGTGAGTGTGTGTAAGTCAGTCAGTTACCCATGAGCACTTTGCACCTTGCATGGCAGCCTTTGCCACCAGTGTATGATTGTGTGTGAATGGGTGAATGTACTTTAAAGTGCTTTGAGTGCTCGGAATAAATAAGTGCAGTACATTTAACTACAACTTGAGTTTGATATGGACAGACCTGCACAGAGGCCTGAACTCAACCACACCAGGCACTTTATTGCTCAACATCAGTGATCAACCTCACTAAAGCTCTTGTGGTTGAATAGGACGCCTCAGCTGTAATAGGTGTGTGCGTACTTTGGTCATATAGTATAGTGTACCTTCCCGAATTGAGAGGAATAACATTTAGAGCAATTTTTGGGTATTAAAATTAGAACAAGACATCAACTTTGCAAACACAAAAAAACAAGACACCATATGTGCTAACACAATTCAATACTGTTATCTGCATGAGCCTGTTTGAGTTCAACTCTGCAGAGTGTGTGTGGGCTTGAGGATTGAGAGTGGGTGAGTAAGCATGTGTGTGTGTGTGTGTGTAGCCAGTATTGATTAATTATGCATAAAATTCTCTTCATAACTGCACCTTAGAAATGTGTGCTCTGCAAAAAAAAACTTCTATCTCTGAGGACTCTGTGGGTATGTGTGTGTGTATGTGTGTGTACACAAGTCTGATAACTATAATTATTCAAAACTATAAAGGCGTAGCGCTCCTTCCCCTCCCCCGCCCCAAAATTCTGCTTATGACAGAGAATAAGAAATCGCAGCAGGGGAAACATACGCAACACTAATGCAACACCAGAGCTCAGAGAGGAGGAGGAAAAACAGAAACTTCTGGGAACATTTTTCTCTCTGCAGCAGATGTCATCTTTTCATTTTGTTGCTAATGATTACTTTGAATATTTATTTATCCTGTTTTTAAAGCCACTGCATTGCGTGTGTGTTTGTGTGTGTGCTTGGCCACAGGCCTGGTTGAATGAACTGTCTAGCAGGCCTGAGCAGTCAATAGATGGAAACAATGCCAGACCTGACTAATCAATAGGGAGCAATCATGAAGAGAGAATGATGATAATCACTTAAACAGATTGGGATCATAATCAATGGCCGCACTAATTGTCCTCCATTACACAGCTGGTATCGGCACTCAGATTTAGCTGTACAATCAGCAGTGGAATGAGCTTCATGTATTGAAAATAAAGTTTCTTGGCAAACAACAACTTTGTGGAATCATTTATCAACATTGGAAGTTTCTTTCTAACACACAATCTGGAACTGTCTTGGATAAAATCACTTTGCAGAAGAACCGTGGAGATTCTTTTGGCAAATTAAAGCCATTACAAGTAGTGATAGGCCGATTAATCGGGCCGATTACGTACATTTTGAGATAATCAGCATTGACCGATGTCTGTCACAAGGTCGATAATCAAATATGTCTTCAGAAACATCTGCAGGCAGGAACGATATTAGTGCTCCCCCTTGTGAGTTTTGGGGAAAACGTTGTCTTTGAGCCCTGTACTATAACTCTCATGCATCCTGCTGTAAACATGTGGCTGAATTTCCTTCAGAATAGAATAGAATCAAACATGACTTTTCTTTGTTTTTAAATATCATTATATATCGTGCTCTCTAAATATCGGCACTTAAAAACCCATATCAGTCGATCTTTTAATTACAAGATGAGAACATTTCACAACTCTGTGCCAGTGGTACTATCAATAAAGAAAACAGCTATTATACATGTCCACACACCTGACATTGGTTCAACAACACATAGACTGCAGACAACATTTCTACAAACAAAAACTTATTCCATCAGGACAACTGGTAACAAATCAACACAGGGTGGTTCTAATTTAAACAGAACCACCAAAACATGCTGCTGCAAACAGCAAAGTTAGCAGAACCAGAGGCTGACTATATGACCAGTGACAGTGACTGCAAACACGTATATAGTTGTAATTCTCTTTAGGTATTCTATAACAATAACATAATCATGCATACTGTGAGATAGCAATGCTTACTGACTCAGTAACATCAACTCATCCTCCAACAGCACTCCATAATAACTGGTTCGAAAGAGAGACAGAGCGAGTGAGAGGGAGGGAGGGAGGGAGGGAGGAGCAGATGAAAAGGCTGAAGGCTACAGGAAGTCAGTGGGAAGGAAAGTTGAAGCTCCGTGTTTTTCATTAAGATACTTCTCACACTAAATTGATCTGTGTGTGTATGAGTGTATGTGTGTGTAGGTGTGTGTGTGTGTGTGTGTGTGTGTGAGAGAGAAAGTGATCAGGACACTCTCTCACACTTCCTCCCTCAGCAGGAAACTGTTTCCAGTTGGCGTGAGGATGTTTAGGTTTCATGGGCTGTCAGTCTACGTGTATGTGTATGTGTGTGTGTGTGGTGTGTGTGTGTGCTCAGTTTCATGTCAATGTGGAGTTTATGTTTTCACACCTCAACACACTCAATCTTGTCTAGTTGATGTCATCTCTCCCACTTTTTTTTCCTTTTTTCTCCTTCCCTCATCATTCCCTTCTTCCTCTCATTCTTGGCTTCCCTCCTTCTTTCCCGTCCCGTTTTTTTTCTCTTTTCTTTCACACACTTTCTTTAATTCTTGTCCCTTTGTTGTTCCTTTTGCCTTACTTTTCTTTTTCACTCCCTTTTTCTCTCTCTCTCCACTCATCTGTTTACGATATCTGTATGGTCGCCTGTCGTTTTTCTTTCTTTTTCGCTCATTCAGCCTTTAACAGAAAATCACAACCCACCCACAGAAACGCACACAGTTTGTCATTCCAAAGGCAAACACTTCATCCTCCCCTCCTCAAACAACCCTTCACCCGAGGCAGAGCTGACACACACACCACACCCACAACACACACACACACAGCAGACAGTCGACTGACCTGTTTGACGCGGTCGGGGTTGACGGTGGTCTGTGGCTGCAGGATGCTGACCGGCTCTGTCTTCTGGGTGCTCTGAGGCATCTCCCTCACCTTCTCAGCGATGAAGTCATGGACGCCGTTCAGCGCCTCCACTGTCCCCTGGATCAGACACACCCGCTCTGTCGTCCCTGCACACACACACATTAACGGAGAGGTTAGTGCATGAGAGTAAACTGAAGGCAAACAGTACTTGGAAGAGATATGACAAGCTCATTTAAAAAGATAATAGAAGCCTGTTTTCATCAGCTGTTGATATGTTAATAATCAAACCATTCCTTGTAAAGTCTTCTGTAACTTTGGCACATCATTGGATTTTATTGCTAAATTTGTGTCACTTTGATGAATAAATGTGTTTCTTTTTCAATGTGCCAACTTTTACATAAAATCAGGTTTGATATATAGATTAGTGATTTGTTCCATTTAGGTTTTTCTCAAGCACAGGATCAAAAGGTTTCCACAGGTGGGTGAAGGTTTGATGTTGTGTAGGATATGTTGTCCCAATTATGACTTGAACACTGAATTTTTCTATTTCCACCACTTTTATGTGCAGTTGAATGAAAATTAAACCAACCGTGGTTCATGTGGCTTTTTCTTTAAAAACAACATTTGTAAGATAAGAAAAGATACCAAAAAACTGTAATGATCCCCACAGGGAAATTATGCTGCTGCAGCAGCAAATAGTAACAGCGAAGAGAAAAAACTAAACACTGAATTATCAAGAAATGCAGTTAAAAATCCAAGTGGAAAAAAAAGAACGTATATAGCATTTAGTGTGGTTAGTGATATTTATAGCAGAAAACTAATTAAAAACTTGTAATTACATTTTGATTGAAGCATGTTATGGAAAAACACATTTTTGGAGAAGCAATTTAACACAAAATACTATTGTATTAAGTTGCTTCTCCAAAAATGTGTTTCTGATCGGCGCAGTAAAGAGAAACAAAACAGAGAAAGACCAATCACACAAAGCTCACAACAACACTCAGAAAACATCAGCGTTCATATTTCCACTGCATCCTTTTCGCATGAACATATTAGTTTATGTCTGTTTCCAGGACTTCGTCCAATCAGGAAATCAATTCCCTGGTCAAATGAAAAATAAAACATGCTTCTGTGCTTTCCAAACGTCTGCTTCAGTTTGGGCAGAATGTGTGTGTAAGCATTAACTACTGTATCTTTAAGATTTATATCGGTTCCATATAAACTGGCTAAACTCTATAATACAAATCAAAAAGCAGAGGAGGTTCAGAGGATTTACACTCCACTTCTATAGCAGTACAAACTGGGATTTATGTGCACTGAGAAAGTCAAAACACATTTGCAGGAAATATAAGAAACACATGAAAGAAAAACTATATATTTGCATTTGCTCGTTCATGTGTTTGAGGGTGTGTGAATATACTGTATTTTATAAACTTCATGTTTTTCCTTTTTCCCCCTGTGACCAGACACCCAGTGTTTATACAAACTAAGTGTCTGAATTGGTGATGAAGTAGAAATTCAGACATTCATAAACAGTCTGTAGTAGCGCAATCACTCATTTTTGTTGTTTTGTCTCTCTGCTCAAGAAATGAAACACTTTTCACGGGGTTTTGGCTGAGTTTGATGATGTTTGCATCATTAAAAGATGAAAAGTGTAGGAATCATGGTTCTTTACAAACATTTTTGGGGGACCAAAAGTAATCAGTAATTTCATAAATGTATAACATTAATGTGCATGTGAACAACCTAAACACCTTTAAGTACCAAACCAGAGTGTTTTCAAGTTTTAAGTCATGTATACATAATCATAGTTCTACCATTGTACAATATACTGCATGTTTTACAGGTTTAGTTCCATGCATCTTTCCTCTAGTGCCTGGCAGCGGTTGGGTTATTGTTCATTTCCTACAATATGAAAACAAATGATCAGACTCTTGAAACTGAACATGAGGTCTGTATTATACTGCATTACCTCATAACGAGGTTTCTTGGTAAAAACAAAACAAAAACAAAGTCTTGATTTTTGACGGTTTAGTGTGCTCATTTATTTTCATACTTTACATAATGAATGAAACCAACGGCTGCCTGGAATCATAAGAAATATAGTCACAATCTAAAACACAACAGTGTGCAAAATCATTAGCTGTGGTGTAAAACACGCGGCTGATTCCTACAGGCTAAAATCTGCAAAACCACAAGTGTGCTCCTTAACAGCTGGATATCCGCAATTTAACCTCATAGTTAGTCTTCGAGCCAAAAGCAATGACAAACATATCACTCTCCTAATACTTTAAGACTTAAATGTTACAGGTTAATACTCTGAGAGAATAAATACATCAGTGCTGCATCCGTAGAGCGTTGACAGACAGACGGACAGACAGAGGAGAATCTAGGCCAATGCAAAGCCTTATCAGACCGGCTGTATCTCAACAACACACTGAAAGTAAGTCTCTCTTTGGCCGTCTCTCTCTCCCTTTTAGCATTTATTCTCTCTCTTTATACTCTTTTCCATTTCGCTTTCTCTCTTCCTCCCTCTCCTTTCCTTCATCCCTCTCTAACTCACTTTATCTCCCTTTTGTTTCCCCCGTTTCCTCCTCTTCCTCTCCCTCTTCCATCTCTCTCTCCCTTGACTCCAGTATTTAGTGGGATCTGCTCTTATCTCGTCTCAGCAGCGTGTCAGTTAGCGCTTCCCGTCTCCTCCTTCTCCCTGCCCTGTTGGACTGGCTCGGTTTGGCCTGGTTCGGGCCTCTGTGGCTGCACTGGGAACTGAGGGATTGGGGGAGTGAGGGACAAAAGCTATGTGGGGGTTGGAAGCTGGTCATACATCATGGTGCAAGGACAGAGAGACTAGGAAGTCAAATTAAAGACCTTTTTTAATACTGCCTTGAATCTAATTTAAGATTAATTTAGTTAATAAAATTCATAACCAGTACTGGTCAAAGCAGACTGAAGAGTCCCATTGGAAAGAAAAAAGAGCAGCTACATTAATCCAAATTCTGCAGACAGCTTCCAAAATGGTAAAAATATTCCATATTCTCACGACTGCGTTTAAGATATTTTTAATACTTTCAATGTCCTAACATGTGGACCAGAGGATTCCTGCACACCCCGCAGATAAAGAGTTGAATGTGTACAGGGTGGAGGGGTTGAAACAACAGAGGCTAAAAATAAAACACACATTCAGGCATTTGCAGCATTTGGCTAACCTGGCCATGCCGGACCTTTGAAACCCCTGTTAGCATTACAGTAAGATTAATTCCCATTCCTATTTTTACAGTCTGTCGACAGCAATGACAAACAGCCTCTGTTGACAGCTGAATGCTGCGTTGGGTCGAGTGACGACAAGCTAACAAATCACACAAACTAGATGTTAGCATTACGTTTTAAGTTTAGCCACATGCTAACGCTTTGCTGGTAGACATTTCAGCCTCATTCTGCATTTAATTCAGCATTAGTGAGCAGAATGATACGGCCGGAGTGTGTATGCGTGGGTGTGTGGGTGTGTGTGTGTGTGTGTACTGATACTGTGGAAATTGGGCTTCGCCTCTCCCCGACAGCTGGTGCCCTCTGGGTAATCTGGACTCGTCCAATCAGAAGCAAGGATTAGCAGGCCATTGTCTTGGCATGAGTGTGTGTTTGTCATGTTTATGTGTTGTGATTGTGTGTGCATGCATTTGCATGTGTGTGTGTATGCTGAGTGTGATTGGAGCAGGAAAGGCCACTCTGAGGCTACTGTACAGCTGTGCCGCTGCAGCAAAGACCTGCTTAATGTCATTACAAAATATTGACTTAAAGATCACTCAGAGATCAATTCATATTCATATAATACCAAACATGATTGACACTTGGTGCTCTATGTATCTTGAGGGCAATTAAACTCTTAAACTTTGCAGTGTTAATGTTGCATAATGGTCCATCAAGGTGCTGTAGTAGTAACACTGTAGGTTCATGCTGTAAAGGGACTGATTTATAGTTTGGGATCATTACTTTTTTTTATTTGCTTCCAATTTCTATTTAAAAAGATTACTCTTATTAGAGCAGTATGATTTAAAACTGGAAGTCATTTTTGGTAAAGAGAGGAGAGAAGAACTCCACAACAAGCACGGCCCTTACATATTACCACCTTTTAAAGTTGTTATGGTTAATGGGTTAGGAAACAGCTGTCACAGACACATCCTGCAGACATGGAGTAACATTATCATTCATTTGGAGTCCTGAGATAAATATCTGGCTCTTTAGCTACTAGCTGTTTGACTTTCTTTCCCAGTTAGTCTGCAGCATTGTCTGTCTGCTCTCCAGTGAGCTTGTTTGCTGAATAAAGGTGTCTGCTGGTTCTCCAAATTAGGTTGATGACAACACTGCGAATGAATCAGACAGCCAATGTGCTGTAAAGCAAAACTACGAGGTAAAAGAGGCTTAAAAGCTTTGTAAAACTGCAGAACTGATGATAATTCTTTGTAGGTAGGTTCATCCTTATGAAACACAATTGATCAATTATTTTCATATCTTAAATAGTGGAGTTTGGAACTTATTTTCATCCAGATTTTATCTCAATATCTGAAAGCTGTTATCTCTTGCTGTAAGAAGACACAGCAGTTCACACAAACAAGATCCTCCTGTAATGAAAACAGCTCAGAAAATCTTTCTGGAAACAGAAAGGGAAACCAAATGAGGAAAAATACTGCTGCTGATTAAGATGACGTTTGGAGGGGCAGTTTTGTGAATGTCTCCTCAATAAAATGTGTGTTTTATTTTACTTTGGCTTTCTCATGTCCCGATGTCTTGTTTATCATGCAGCAAACACACACAGACTCACAGTCACTGACATACAAATGTTCAAACCAGTGCCAACACAACAGAATTTACACATCACGAGAGAGCTCCTTTGGCAGTAACTTCGGTACTGGTCCCCCTGGTGCAAGACATCACTCTGTGTGTGTGTGTGTCTTCGTACATTATGTGACTTTTGCATTTCTCCTACAAAATGAACCTCATCAATTGACATTTTAACAGTTGGAAGCTGTTTCCAAACTTGACATGCTGCAGCTGCTGAAGCGATATCTTTCCAATGCTGTTATCCGTTTACATAACAAGACATTTTTTACGTTGCTCATGTAGAAACAAAATGTAGCCCACAGAACAACAA